AAATGTAAGCTAGCTGAGAAGTGAGCCAAAATCCAAATTCTCACATAAACACTATCAACAACACTGTCAAACTTACAACCATAAAATCAGTCAAAAATAGTCAACAACACCGTCAACAACACTGTCAACAACACCGTCAACAACACCGTCAACAACACCGTCAACAACACTGTCAACAACACCGTCAACAACACCGTCAACAACACCGTCAACAACACCGTCAACAACACGGTCAACAACACCGTCAACAACACCGTCAACAACACCGTCAACAACACCGTCAACAACACCGTCAACAACACGGTCAACAACACCGTCAACAACACGGTCAACAACACTGTCAACAACACCGTCAGCAACACCGTCAGCAACACGGTCAACAACACTGTCAACAACACTGTCAACAACACCGTCAACAACACGGTCAACAACACGGTCAACAACACGGTCAACAACACTGTCAACAACACCGTCAGCAACACCGTCAGCAACACGGTCAACAACACTGTCAACAACACCGTCAACAACACGGTCAACAACACCGTCAACAACACTGTCAACAACACCGTCAACAACACCGTCAACAACACGGTCAACAACACCGTCAACAACACGGTCAACAACACTGTCAACAACACCGTCAGCAACACCGTCAGCAACACGGTCAACAACACTGTCAACAACACTGTCAACAACACCGTCAACAACACGGTCAACAACACCGTCAACAACACGGTCAACAACACTGTCAACAACACCGTCAACAACACGGTCAACAACACCGTCAACAACACTGTCAACAACACTGTCAACAACACCGTCAACAACACCGTCAACAACACGGTCAACAACACGGTCAACAACACCGTCAAAAACACGGTCAACAACACCGTCAACAACACCGTCAACAACACCGTCAACAACACTGTCAACAACACCGTCAACAACACGGTCAACAACACCGTCAACAACACTGTCAACAACACCGTCAACAACACCGTCAACAACACTGTCAACAACACCGTCAACAACACCGTCAACAACACCGTCAACAACACGGTCAACAACACCGTCAACAACACCGTCAACAACACCGTCAACAACACGGTCAACACCTCAGCCAACAACACAGCCAACAACACAGCCAACAACACAGCCAACAACAGCCAACAACAGTCAACAACACTATCAAACTCACAACCATAAAATCAATCAACAACATAGTTAAAACAACAACTACAACAAAGCTGTCAACAACAAATACAACAACACTGTCAACAACTGTCAAACTCACAACCATAAAATCAGTTAACAACACAGTCAATAACATATAAAACAAAAAATACAACAACACAAACAACAACACAATATTGGCATTCAATGTGTTGTATGTGTTGTTGACTGTGTTGTTGACATTCTTGTTGACATTGTTGAATGTGTTGTTGTATTTGTTGTTGACAGTGTTGTATTTGTTGTTGACAGTGTTGTATTTGTTGTTGACAGTGTTGTATTTGTTGTTGACAGTGTTGTATTTGTTGTTGACAGTGTTGTATTTGTTGTTGACAGTGTTGTATTTGTTGTTGACTGATTTTATGGTTGCGAGTTTGACTGTGTTGTTCACTTTCAACAACACAGTCAAAAACACAGCCGAGAACACAGCCAACAACACAGTCAAACTCACAACACATGATATACAACAACAAATACAACAACACCGTCAACAACAAATACAACAACACACATACAAGAACACTGTTAACTACACTGTCAACAACACATAAAACAACAGTCAACAACAAAGTCAAAGTCAACAACACTGTCAAACTCACAACCATAAAATCAGTCAACAACACAGTCAACAACACATACAGTAAGACAGCCAACAACGCTGTCAACAACAAATACAACACCGCTGTCAACAACACTGACAGTGTTGTTGACAGTGTTGTTGACAGTGATGTTGACGATGTTATTCAATGTTTTGTTGACTGTGTTGTTGACAAACCCACAACCATAAAATAAGTCAACAACACATTCAACAACACTGACAACAACAAATACAACAACACAGTCAACGATATCAACAACACAGTCAACAAGATTGTCAACAGCACAGTCAACAACACATACAACACAAACACACAGTAAACAACAAAGTCAATAACACATACAACAACACATACAACAACAGTCAACAACAACAGTCAACAACACATACAACAACACGGTCAACAACACGGTCAACAACGCATACATCCACATATAAGAACATAAGAACGTCGATAACTGTTGAAAGCCTATTGGCCCATACGTGGCAGCTCCTATTCATAGTTATCCAATCTCATTCATTTAAATGTCTAACCTACGCTTAAAACCATCAATGGATCATACTTCTATTATGTTTCGGGGTAATTGTTGCACAAATCAACAACCCTGTTACCGAACCAGTGTATACCCAGATCTTTTCTAAATCTAAACTCATCTAATTCATACCCATTATTTCGTGTTCTGTCTTGTGTTGATACTTTTAATACCCCTATTAATTATTAGAGTATTCGACCCATAAATCAAAATTTCACAATATATTGCAGTTTTTAGCGAGATTTGTTGCATTTTGATTTGAACTAAAAATCCTCGACTTTAGCAATAATATGACGTTTGTCATATTTATTTACTTAATGGGACTTAAACCAAATATCTACGATTTACCAATATTTGTTTCCGCTTTCCGTCGTTTTAAAGAAATTTAAGTTAATGAACATAAGAATGGAGGTAACCGCAGAGGGCAACATACAACAACAAAGTCATCAACATAGTCAACAACTGATACAACAGTTGTATCAACTGTTGTATCAGTTGTTTGTTGTTGTTGACTCAATAACACAGTCACCAACACAAACAACATCACATACAACAAGTGATTCAATAACACATACAATAACAGATTCAACAACACATTTAACAACACAGACAACTCTCCCACACACTTTCTGTACACTACAACTCTCCCATGTAACCTTCAACACACAGAAACTCTCCCCACACACATTCCATCCTCAGGTTATGCTCGTCCAAGCTACAACTCACCCTCAGGTTATGTTTGTCCAAGCTACAACTCATCCTCAGGTTATGCTCGTCCAAGCTACAACTCACCCTCAGGTTATGCTCGTCCAAGCTACAACTCACCCTCAGGTTATGCTCGTCCAAGCTACAACTCACCCTCAGGTTATGCTCGTCCAAGCTACAACTCACCCTCAGGTTATGCTCGTCCAAGCTACAACTCATCCAACATACGACCGGTGCCAGACTAAATTTTTCAATATCAAATTATTACAAAATATTACTATATTGACTATTAACACTTTGTGTATAATTATGCTTAGATTATGTATTTTGGTTCTGTCAACTTCAACCTGTCGTCAGTCTATGTTCATTCCATCCAGCGGTTGACTCCAAAGATACATTCATAAATTTTTACATGCTGTTCATTCAAAAGAAGATTTTTATAAAATATAAATTAATATTGTTATATATTAGTATACTGTGCAAATTTAGGCATTGGTTAGGTCAGGCGATTAGGTTCAGTTGGCGATTATTTGTTTTTGACAACCCGTCCTCGACTCAAGTCCATTACATCCAGCGGTCGACCCCACAGACTCATTCATAAATGTTTAAATGGTGTTCATTCAAAACGGGAATTTTCTCAAATATAAATTAATATTATAATATATTATCATAGGGTGCATATGTAGGCATAGGTTAGGTTAAGTGAATATTTAGGTTCTGTTGGCGATTATTTGTATTTGTAGTACGTAGGTGAAGCATTTACAACATTGTGGTTCGAACAAAATTCGTCAATGAAGCACTTGTTCCGGAAGTGTTCGAACGTTATCAATTGAGTCGCAGCCTGTCCTCCAAACAAAGATCCAAAAGTGATTCTATGCACCCGCCACACCCCCTGTTTATGAATGAAAAGCAGTTTACACACGACTCACAACTGCTGACGTTCGAATATATCCGGAACAAGTGCTTCACTGACGAATTTTGTTCGAATCACTGCGCTATAAATGCTTCACCCACGTACTACAAATACAAATAATCGCCAACAGAACCTAAACACCTAACCTAACCTATCCTATACCTATATATATACACAATATGCTAATATATTATAATATTAATTTATACTTGAGAAAATTCCCATTTTGAATGAACAGCATGTTAAAATTTATGAATGCGTCTGTGGGGTCGACCGCTGAATGTAATGGACTTGAGTCGAGGACGGGTTGTGAGTCGTGTGTAAACCGTTTTTCATTCATAAATAGGGGGTTGGGCGGGTGCATGGAATCACTTTTGGGGCTTTGTTTGGAGGACAGGCTAGCATTTACAGCCTTGTGGTTCGAACAAAAGTTGTCAGTGAAGTACTTGTTCCGGAAGTGTTCGGGCGTCATCAGTTGTCAGTCGCGTGTAAACCGTTTTCATTCATAAACAGGGAGTTTGGCGGGTGCATGGAATCACTTTTGGGTCTTTGTTTGGAGGACGGGCTGGACTCACAGCTGATTTCGTTCGAACACTTCCGGAACATGTGCTTTACTGACAAATTTTGTTCGAACCACAACCCTGTAAATGCTTCACCCAGGTACTACAAATACAAATAATCGCCAACAGAACTAAACACTTAACCTAACCTAACCTATGCCTATATATGCACACTATGATAATATATTATAATATTAATTTATATTTTAGAAAATTCCCATTTTGAATGAACAGCATGTAAATATTTATTAATGCGTCTGTGGGGTCGACCGCTGGATGTAATGGACTTGAGTCGAGGACGGGTTGCTGTAAATGCTTCACCCAAAAACTTCAAATACCACATAATTCCTAATACAACTAAACATTTAATTATACACAGATTTAAAACATAATTAATATCAATTTATTTTAGACGAAATAGTTTTTGTTATTATATAGTACATAGGTGTTGTAGAATGCGTGCTTGGGGTTGGCCATTGTCTGATGATTGGTTGTGGGGGTCGGTCGCAGCGTGGAGTACCACAGTCTGAGGATAGATTGTTAGCGTCGGCAGCAGCGAGGAGTACCCCATCCTGAGGATGAGTTGTTCGGCCAAAGCTTGAACGAGCATAGTCTGAGGAGTGCTACTGTTTATACAGGTCAGCCTTTAAACACCATTACTCGAGTTAAGGTAACAAACAGATTTTCTTTACTAAGAATAGATATATAGAAATCTTGGTCATGATGTATATTTAAGGATTTTTTTTTTTACAAATTTCTTTGGAGAGCTCTTAAGATGACAGGTTTTGTAGGGGCTCTAGAATGACAGGCATTGGTGGGGATATAAGATTGGCGATTCACAGAAGCGTGATTTCCAGACCAAGTAGATGAAGGCATAAACACGCGCACTAAGGTTAGTTAATGTTCTGAAGATATGGTGTTCTAATGTTCTATAAAATCTGATTTTGTAGACCTGATCTCGAGTCCTTACTCGCACGGCAGTGAAGCGCGTGGAACTACAACCAGTGAAGACTATCAGGACTATCAAGTGATGTGTAGGGTACCAGGACCAGCGGTAAACATAAGTGACGTGTAGGGTACCAGGACCAGCGGTAAACATAAGTGACGTGTAGGGTACCAGGACCAGTGGTAAACATAGGTGACGTGTAGGGTACCAGGACCAGCGGTAAACATAAGTGACGTGTAGGGTACCAGGACCAGCGGTAAACATAAGTGACGTGTAGGGTACCAGGACCAGCGGTAAACATAGGTGATGTGTAGGGTACCAGGACCAGCGGTAAACATAGGTGATGTGTAGGGTACCAGGACCAGCGGTAAACATAGGTGACGTGTAGGGTACCAGGACCAGCGGTAAACATAGGTGATGTGTAGGGTACCAGGACCAGCGGTGAACATAGGTGATGTGTAGGGTACCAGGACCAGCGGTAAACATAGGTGACGTGTAGGGTACCAGGACCAGCGGTAAACATAGGTGACGTGTAGGGTACCAGGACCAGCGGTAAACATAGGTGATGTGTAGGGTACCAGGACCAGCGGTAAACATAGGTGATGTGTAGGGTACCAGGACCAGAGGTAAACATAGGTGATGTGTAGGGTACCAGGACCAGAGGTAAACATAGGTGACGTGTAGGGTACCAGGACCAGCGGTAAACATAGGTGACGTGTAGGGTACCAGGACCAGCGGTAAACATAGGTGATGTGTAGGGTACCAGGACCAGCGGTAAACATAGGTGACGTGTAGGGTACCAGGACCAGCGGTAAACATAGGTGATGTGTAGGGTACCAGGACCAGAGGTAAACATAGGTGACGTGTAGGGTACCAGGACCAGCGGTAAACATAGGTGACGTGTAGGGTACCAGGACCAGCGGTAAACATAGGTGACGTGTAGGGTACCAGGACCAGCGGTAAACATAGGTGATGTGTAGGGTACCAGGACCAGCGGTAAACATAGGTGACGTGTAGGGTACCAGGACCAGCGGTAAACATAGGTGATGTGTAGGGTACCAGGACCAGCGGTAAACATGGGTGACGTGTAGGGTACCAGGACCAGCGGTAAACATAGGTGACGTGTAGGGTACCAGGACCAGCGGTAAACATGGGTGACGTGTAGGGTACCAGGACCAGCGGTAAACACAGGTGACGTGTAGGGTACCAGGACCAGCGGTAAACATAGGTGACGAGTAGGGTACCAGGACCAGCGGTAAACATAGGTGACGTGTAGGGTACCAGGACCAGTGGTAAACATAGGTGACGAGTAGGGTACCAGGACCAGCGGTAAACACAGGTGACGTGTAGGGTATAAGGACCAGCGGTAAACATAGGTGACGTGTAGGGTACCAGGACCAGCGGTAAACATAGGTGACGTGTAGGGTACCAGGACCAGCGGTAAACATAGGTGACGTGTAGGGTACCAGGACCAGCGGTAAACATAGGTGACGTGTAGGGTACCAGGACCAGCGGTAAACATAAGTAACGCGTAGGCTACCAGGACTAGCGACCCGGGGGATGCACACCTGGTGTGTAGTCTAGCGACCCGCGGGATGTATGCTTAAGGCTATTACATTTTTGGGTAAATGGAAAATAGTTTTTAAAACCTTTTACTATAGCGAGAAACATAAGAACATGAGTAACCAACCTAACCTATCAATTCCATTTCATAGAAAACGTGGATTTTTGTTAGCCTTTATTCTCAATAGCTTCCATTTGTAACGTTAACATAATGACAAAAGGGTTTTGTAGCTAACACTGTTAGCATTGTTTTGCCGAGACAATACAATCGTCTTGGTAAACTAGTTGAATAAGGAGAAGGCTGGCGAATGGTGAACGAGGGACTGCAAGCGATTGTTAATCACTACGAATACGTAGCATTTTTAGCATAATAGACCAATCCCTTGAAAATGACTGGTTTGTAAAAAAATTATACTACGTGAAATTATCGTTTTCTAAGCATCGTCCTGTACAGGTTAATGTGTTGCTTTAGTTCACGCGCGCTTAAGGCAAACCGCGTTATTTTTTGCGGAGTGGCAACTCTGCATAATACTTGGATTTGGAACACTAGCACACAGACTCGTCCTAGTATTATAGTATTTAAAACAGCTGATTGGTCGACCGTTCAGTATGGACTGTTAGATTCAAATGTTTTGTATATTTTTTGTATTATTAACTAGCCTAAAAGGTACACCAAAACAAACTTTACTTATTTTGGTATATATGTCGTACCTAATAGCCACCGTTGCCTAACAAATCGAATTTTTGTGAAATATATAATTTTTCGAAGGCCTGCCTTAACAGCTCGGCCAAGTGGATGAACCCAGAACCCTACCGAGTCCTCTGGGATGTTCTGGATGACCCTAATTGGGGCACAACCATGGTTTTTAGCCAACTCTACCTCACTCGGGCCTACGTTGTTGGCGAATTGTGGAATGGAAAACAATGTTATGAAGGATTGGTATTAATGGTAATTGTGTATTGTAAGCTTTTTAGAGACGAAGATTGTGAAAAAAGTTATATAAAAAATGTATGTAGTCAAGAATTATGTAATGAAATTTATGGGACGCAGGAGATTGTGTTGTGGACGATTGTAAATATTGCAGGATTACAATATTCACTATTCTTATCACACCACCTTGTACTCATTGTATTATAACCTCTCTATTGATTCCATATGATTGAGCAATGCTTTGAAAATTTAGGATTTATTCCTAAGAATATTATCTACTTAATTGTTCGTAACCAACACTTTCTCTTTTCAGATTACATCTTATTAGCCCAGATTGTATTATTCATCTTAATACAACGAAGCATTCATAATGCCAGATAATAAGTATTGGATCGTACCACTTCTGGGGCTTGGAGTTCTCAGTCTGTGTGGGGGTGATGATCAAGAGCATAGCAATGAGTTTGAGTACGCATATAAACACGCTGTGAAAGCTGATCAATGTAATGAGAGAAGCACAGATTGTCTCAACAACATCAACCCGTGTTACAAACATGGCCAGGCGGCCAACATAGTGGACGGCTCCAGGCCCACCCTACAAATGGTAGAAATTCCAGGAGGCAAATTTATAATGGGAAACAATAACTCCAGATTCCGTAATGAGCGGGATATACCTGCGAGATGGGTAGAGATTAATACATTTTACATGGATGTCTACGCAGTATCTAATGCAGAGTTTGAAGTGTTTGTTAACGCCAACAACTACAAAACGGAGGTAAGGGATCAATTATCTTCAACGTTATATATAACGTATTCCTCTTGGTAAGACGCATGTAGTAAGATAGCTGTAAATTTGTAGACTTCAGTCCCTGGTCACAGTCCTCTCCTGGTCATGCCAGTCGTCAGTCCCTTGTCACAGTCCACCTCTGGTCACGCCGGGTTTCTTTAATTCCTTCTCCATTTTGAATTGTCATAAAATATTTTAAGTTTTGTACTTTTCAATTGTAATTATTGAAACAATTTACGACACTAAAATTGTTTTATTAATTTTCATTAAATGGAAAAACAGAAGCCCGTATTTCAATGGATCATAAAACTTCCATAAAATTTAATGCCTCAATATATGTTGTTGGGATGGTCAAATGCACTTTATTATCACCAAAAGGAAAAAGGTGGGGATAACGGAATTCTTTCAACACAAAACTACCATTTGCTATAATGTTCACTCTAGCCCAGTGTAGAACTGAACTAGAGAAATGAAGAACAAATCTATTTAGTTCTGCTCGAAACTCGCCATGTCTATTTTTAGTCAACATAACCATTAGAGCACTAAAGGCACATTCAAGGAAATATGAAGCTTGGAAGGGCAGAACTACTTGCCGAGCTTTTGTATCTAATTTGTTACATTTAGCAACAACTTGGGGATAGACCTAGAGGTGTTGGTATTTTGACACGTGGATGTCAAATGGCTCTTACTGTCATCATTTCTCATGTCCATTAGTTCGTCAATTTGATCATGCCCCGTTTTAGCCACGCAGTTCATTATTTTCCCAGTTAAAGAGAAGTAATTATCAAAAAGAAGGCACCAAACCGGGAAGGTTATGTAGCACCATCAAATGTGCGGGATAATCAGAGGGCGCTAAATATCAGCATGAACGCAAATACGAGAACAGAAATGCATTGGGCGAACGATATCAAAAGTATGTCACCGAGAATACTATCGAGAGACAAGCGACCGCGGGGGACGGTCGGAAAACAAGACGCATGCTCGTCCCGGAAGTAAGGATATTCAACAAGGATATGCATGACCGTAAGAGGGACAATGCAATTAGGACAATGAGCAGGGCGGCGCTCCATAAAGTGACCATGAGTTAAGCGAGTATGGCCAATATACAACCTTGCCAGAGCCGTTTTCCATCGTCGGTTACGGTGGCAGGAGGACGGCCACGAGGATACACAACCTTTAAGAGAACGTAGTTTGTTACCAGTAACAAACGACCAAGAAGACTGCCAACGGGTAAGGCTGGAGGAATGGATAACCGGGTAAGAGTCGGAATAAGGAATACCTTTACAAGAGATGGGACAAGAGCGAACAGCCTCCCTGGCGGCAGCATCCTTATGCTCATTTAAAGACACCAATATGGCTGGGAACCCAACAAAACTCAACCGACTTAAATTTGCTGTGAACAAGAAACCGCCAATACTGGATCTCGACAACCACTGGATGAACCGGATTAAAGGACCCCGAGAGCCATGAGTGCACTGAGTAAACAACAACTACAAAGGAAGATTGATAACGAGAAAGCAGGAGACGAAGAGCATAGAGAATAGCATAAAGCTCCGTTGTGAAGATGCTAGTCTCCGGAGGTAAGGGACACACATAAGTGTGATCAGGGAAAACAGAGTAGCCAACGCCGTCCGCAGACTTAGACCCATCAATGAAGACGGAAACGGAGTGCGAGTGAGAAGAAAAGTGCTCAAGGAAAAGGCGTTTTAGAACCGTAGGAGGGGTAAAAGCTTTAGGGATGTGGGTCAAGGATGTACAAAACTGCGGAAGGGGGACTCTCCATGGGGGCAAAGAAGGAACAACACGGGGAGAAATATTAGAAATACGAACGGAAAGAGAATCCTATAAGCGAGATAACCGAACAGAAAGAGGGTGGTGGTGAAGAGGAATAGGAACCGCAAGAGGGGTAAAAGTGAAAGCACGACAGAGGCGAGAGGAAGGATGTTGCAAAGATTGTGCAGGATAGCGAAGACAGTAGCGATCACGGCGATCCTGGAGAGACAGGGAGCCAGTGTCAACATAAAAGCTGAGGACGGGAGTCGAACGAAAGGCACCAGAACTGAGGCACAACCCAGTATGGTGCAAAGCATCAAGACGGAGAAGAGTAGGAGAAGCAGACGAGAAAGCAGGGCAACCATAATCGAGCTTAGACAGGACGAGAGAGGAATGCAAGCAAGTGGAGTGCGCCTATCCGCTCCCCAAGAAGTATGGGACAATACCCGAAGGAGGGCAAGGGCCTTAGAGCATTCAACACGAGACAAGGGAGATATAGGGAGACAAAGACAAAAGTGTCAAAGAATAACCCTAAAATCTTCGCGGAATCATTGTACTCGAGGGTATGACCATAAAGTGATAGAGGGACGAAGAACGACCCGTTCCAGAGTAAGTCATGGCACAAGTCTTAGTAGAAGAGAACTTGAAGCCATGATCGGTGGCCCAAGACGACACGGTATCAATCGCAATTTGAAAAAAAAATTGAAAGCCGACGTTGAAGGAGAGGCGAATCATCACCCTGACAGCAAAGGGAAAAATCATCGACACAGAGAGCGGAGAAGACGCCTGAAGGAAGAGAGGAAAGAAGACCATTGAGGGCAACCTGGAAAAATAGTACTTAGAACACTACCCTGGGGCACACCTTCGTATTGCTGAAAAGAGGCAGAGAGAGCGGTACCAAGACACACCCGAAAGGAACGACGAGAGAGGAAGCTGCGGAGAAAGAGGAAGATATATCCATGAAGGTCAATAGAATGAAGCTGGGATAGAACATGATAATGCCAAGTGGTGTCGTAAGCCTTTTCCAGGTCAAAAAGGACGGCAACAACAGAGGTCTTCGCAGCAAAAGCAGTACGAATATAGACCTCCAAGTTCACCACGACATGTGTTGTGCTGCGGCACTTGCGGAAACCAAAATGAGAAGAGAGGTGGTGATGGTGTTCCAGGAACCACAGCAGATGAACGTTAACCATACATTCAAAGAGTTTGCAGACACAACTTGTAAGGGCAATAGGGCGAAAGTCCTTAGGGGATGTTCCCAGAGACCTTTGTTTGCGAACAGGGAGGACAACAGCATCGAGCCAGTCCTCAGGGACTGATGACGGCTCCCAGATCCGATTATACAGACTCGGTAAATACTGAGACGTGCACGGAGGGAGATGGCGAAGCATCTCATAATGAATGCAATCGGAGCCCGCTGCCGTAGAACTGCAGAGGGCCAGGGCAGAACGAAGTTGAGAGAGAGAGAAGGGATCGTTATAGGAAAGTAGAAGAGTGCAGAAATCGAAAGGACGAGATTCAAGGACAGATTTACGAAGAAGGAAAGATTGGGAAAGATGAAGACCAGAGCTAACAGAAGAAAAGTGGGAACGCAGTTCGGTAGCAACCTGCAACGGGTCCGCCACAAGAGTACCACGGAAGTGAAGGACCGGTGAAACATCGGGAACGAACTTGCCTGCTATCTTACGGATATGCTTCCAGATCTGTGGCAGAGGAGTTTCGGACGTAATGGTGGAGACATAAAATGCCCAACATTCACGTTTAGCCGTACGGATGGCCCTACGTGTCGCCGTGGGGCGACAAAGGGGCGAAAACCGCGAAATGAAAAAGGAGAGAGCGAGGGAGAGGTGAGAGCAGCACTGAGGGTTAAATAGGTCCCAGAAGGTGGAGTTCAAGGAAATTGACGTAATAACCTCTAACGTTCTTTGAAGAATAGACATCGACGATAAGAGAAAGGACAACAGAGAACAAGGAACGAACAAAATCGAAAGAGCAACAGAGCACATTAAAGAATATCAGGGTCAGCAAAGTCAGGGTTAGGGGGCATTGGTAAACTGAGCAGAGACAGAGGGAAGGAAGCGAGAGAACAGACGGTGGACGGGCTGGGTCCGGAGGAGGAGGAGGAGGAGGAAGGAGAGACGACGACGACGACGACGACGACGACGACGACGACGAGGACGAGGAGACAACCGAGAGGAGCAGTCAAGGACAGCAGCAGGAAGAGGGGGAGGAGAAAGAGGGGAGCGCACCTCAGCATGGGCACCAACCGAGAGGGAAGCGGGGGGCCAAAGAAACCTCCATAGCAGGAACAGTGGGTGCAACCACCGAAATGGGAGGGGGAAGGAGCGATAGAGGAAGAAGTAGGGGCCGAGGAAGAAAGTGAAGCCTTCTTACCCGCCGGGGAGGAGGAAGGAGAGGAGCCAGGCTTACGCTTCTGACTTGGACACAGGTGTCCCAGCAACTACGTACTGGGCAATGGATTCCAGCGTCTCAACAGAAGCTTAACGAGAGCGCACACGACGGCCGTTTGGAGAGCGATGGATTTCAGCCCGCACCGACAGGCGGCGGGGACCAGTTAAAGAAAAAAAAAAAGGAGGAATTACTCATCCTTCTTGGATGAGCAATCCAAGTAGGAAAGTTAATAAGATTAAAATCAATGAAATGCGTCTCTCGGGTCATCCTGGAAGTTAAGATGTTCACAGAAAATTTGACTTTTGGGGATGGATAAAATTTACCGAGATGTTTGAAGTGCGAGAAGTTCTCAATACCTGGGCCTTCAAAACAAAACAAAATTACCGAGAAAACCAAAACATTTTGAATTTGCAATTACGAGCGTCTTCTGTTCACCTTACAACTTTTAATATATTTAATTTACCAAAAATATCAGCATATGAAATAAAGGCTCCATCGTATTCATGAACTGGAAGTCCTCTTGACCTCTACCAAGGTCCAACAAAGTTTCATGCAGAGTAATCAACCTTTCCTGACAATCGCCTTTGATAGCAATCCTACATTCTTTGAACAGTTTTTCGGTCTTTAGATGGCGTTTATCAAATTTGCCACTTCTACTACATTCTTCATTCCCCTCGGTGGGAGAGCCTTGACGGGGATAGGGCGCTCTTGTGCGCTGCTCGAGGGAAGGAGGGGGAGGCTAACGATCCAGTCTCTTGCCTGCTGTGGCGGTACACAGGCGAATTATGCCTCTGTATGTTATC